TATCTTTTTTCTTGCCTGAGGTGACAAGAGTCTGGAATCATGGCTCACCGGCGAGGCCCAGCATGCCCCTCTTTCTTTTCTTTTCCTTCTATCCTCTCTCGCACTAATTTCAACACTACAAAGTAGTTCAGCCCTCTCTAGATATTCACTGGATACTAGTTGTGCACCTTACGTACCGACGCACGGCAAGTGGGTCGTCTAACAGGGTCCAACAAGAATTTTTTTTCTGCTTCTCTCACAGCCCCCTCCCCTCGTCTTCAGGACAGCCTCAGCGTTGATTCTTCATCGTAAGTGTTGAAATTAGGTAAGTTGCAAGAGGTGGTGGACATACCGGTGATATGATATCAGCATGTTGGGTAAAGGAAGCAATGGGAACGTAAGTGGGGATCATCCTCTCCTCTCCTCCATCTGGCTCGGGGATCGGCCATCGTTAGTCATTGGCCAGTAATCAACCATTCTTGTCTTTTCCTTCTCCTCCCCGCGGAGATTGAATGGCCTGAGCAGAGAAGAATGCTTAACTCCATCTCATCGGCCAACCAGAGCATTGGACATTATCGGAACTGGGTCTGCTCTACTATCTTTTTTATCTGATGATAATCGGTTCCGCGACCGGTGCCGGGGCCTGTTGTAGGGCTCCCGCCAAAGCTTCCCCTCAACTTAAATTTCTGCCCTGTTCCTACCCTCCAGGGGCACCAGTTTGATCCCTCCGCAAAGTCAGTCTGCAGAAACTCCACCCAATGCGCGAAAGCACGTCCGACAAGAGGGTGGCAGAAACGGTGGTGGCCGACCAGGAGGTGGAAAATGGTTCGCCGGCAGCCTACCGTCCCACGCGTTGGCAGAGCAATTTGACCATCCTGAGCTGCGTGAGTCAAAGCCGATGAACCTTCATTTTCCTCTCTTTCCCGACTAAATATTTTCGGAGAACGCGTCGCTAACCAGTTTTTCTGACAGTATATCGCCAATTTCAGTGATGGCTTTCAAAACCAATTGGCCAACCCCACCAATGTCATCTTCAAGAAGCTGCTGGGCAAATCCGGCTACCCATCGGAGATGCAGACGCGCATCAGCAATTCCCTGCTCATCGGTGCTATCCTGGGAGTTGTTGTGCTGGGATACGTCTCCGATATGGCCTCCCGACGCGCGGGTCTCCTCTTCACCTCGGGCCTGGTCACCATCTCCACGCTGATGGCCACCCTGGCCCTGCAGGTGCACCCTTCTCACAACATGCTCTGGTACTTTGTCATCGTCCGTGGCATCTGTGGGTTTGGCGTGGGCGGGGAATACCCTCCCAGTGCTGCGGCCGGTCTGGAAGAATCTGACGATGTATGTTTCCCATCCCTTTCTCCCCTACCAGCGCACTAGGAAGCAGACCATGATGAAGAACTTCAAGAATGTGCAGCTAATCAGAATATATGTATGCAGTTCAAGCGCCGCTACCGAGGCCCCGTCTTCGTCTCCTTCACCACGCTGATGGCCACCACCGCCTCTCCCATTTTGATGATCATCTACCTGATCTGCCTCAAGGCCACCAACAACAACCTGCCCGTCACCTTTCACGCCATCTACAGCATTGCCACCATCTTGCCCGCCATCATCATGGTCTTGCGGTTTTTCATGACCGATTCGACCTTGTACCACCATTCCAACTTCAAGCGCCAGCGGAAGCCCGCCCGATTCTACTGGGTACTGGTGCGCCGCTACTGGAAGCGCCTCTTCACCACCTCGCTGGCCTTCTTCCTCTACGACTTTATCAACTTCCCCAACAGCATCATGTCGAGCACCATCATCTCCTCGCTCGTCAAGGATGGCAACATCCAGACCACTGCCATCTGGCAAGTCATCCTGGCTGCACTGCCCGTCCCCGGCGTCATCGTCGGCGCCTGGCTGACCAATTCGATCGGTCGCCGGTACACCGGAATGGCCGGATTCGCGGGCTACGTGGTCCTGGGCTTCATCATCGGTGGCACCTACGCCAAGCTCTCTCAGCACATCGCGGCCTTTGTGGTGCTCTACGGACTGCTACAGGCCTTTGGACACATGGGGCCGGGCGCCACGATCGGCCTCATCTCCACCGAATCCTTCCCCACCGCCATGCGCGGCATGGGATACAGTGTGGCCACGGCTTTCGGTCGCACGGGAGCGGCGGTGGGCACGCAGTGTTTTACACCCTTGCAGGATGCCGCGGGAGATAGCGCCACATTTTACCTTCTCGGTGGCGTGGCGATTCTGGGCATGATTGTGTACTGGTTCCTGCCGGAAAGCGGGAAATTGGATCTGGAGAAGGAGGATCGCGAGCTGGAAGAGTATCTGGCTGGGCATGGGTTCGTGATGGAGAAGAAATACTAATCTAGTATACTTACTAGTATATATGTCTGTATAGACAGCGTTTATATCTGAAATGTGAAATGACAACGATCATGACAGCGCTATGGACGTCACCTATCCTAGCTTGGATGTATTAATCTCCTGTGTTCCTTTAGAAGTGAATCTATGCTAATCCATCCCCCAGCCGGACCCAGGTGGATAGCTGTGTTCTCAGAGTCCGCTAGTCCAGAAAGATCTGCTGGGTGCCTCGTTTCCATGCCCCTATTCATCGTAACCACTACATTTTCAGCCCGTTTTCGGTAGGGTGAAAAGTCTCGTCGGAAGTATACGGAAGGCGCTTGTTGATGGTTCCTCGGATTTGCGGGTTAGGTAGGGCATGTAGTACCCCAGCCCAGCCGATTGCCAGTAGCAGAAGATGGCCGCGCGCAACATGACCGAGGGAATTGGCCAGGATATGACTGGATCCGGTACGATATCACTAGCTCTTTTCCTCCTCCTTTAATGATTTGCGCTACCGGTCCAACGCATTGTGAGAGGGTACTTGTGATGTAGTGCCGGTAACACGTTTCGCAGGCGACACGATGAGACCCTGTCATTGATGAATTGACATAACCTTCGAAGGTGCCTGATCACCACTGTGCAGCTTACTAGCAATCAGATATTCAGCTAAGCTGTAAGCCGAAGATGGGATTGGCTGCACCATTCAGCGACTGCCTGCAGTACCATATTTATCTAACCACGTGCCGCATTTCTTCAATTGAGTTCCGGGAATAATTCACCGGTCGGACCGTCGGTTACTTTCTTCACGAATGAGCAGACCGAGAAGTATTGGTCATGGTGAGATGTGAACAAGGAGACTGCCGTTACGTGTTGGTCACTGCCATCTCAGTCACTCCGAGCCTTTCCGAAAATGGTGAGTGTAATCGAGAGAACATTATGATCGGAAGATCCAATAAATGTTGTGCTGAGAGTGGGGAGTTCTGTGAAGAATCACGATGGATTGCAATTCACGCCATTCCAGCCCGTAGCAGCCATGATAATGATATGCGACCGGGACGATCGAAATAGTTTAGTCGGGAGCAGGATAGGTCAAGACGGGCTGACACGCGACCCACGCGGGGAGACGATAAGCCAGACAGAATACATTGTAGATAAACTAGATAAACTAACGCGATAACTACTATACGATCCAGCCCGCAATCAAAGCAATGAAAATGTTCTCCCTCGCCATTTTGGGGCTTATCACGCCATATCCACTTCCGCCTCGCCTGCCAATCAAACCTTCGATACCCTCAAACTATCCCTACCAGATTCTTCTCTCTTGTCTCTCTTCCTCTCTCTTGACCCTTTGTTTACCTGATAAATTAAACACTTCTTCTTCTGCTGCAGGGCTCGTCGATCCTTGCATTCCGATCGAGTCAACTTCCCACTAGAATCTGCTAGTTGGTTTCCAGTAGTTCTCACCCTGCACCATGACAGCTCCTCCGATGTATCGCCAGGAGAAGCTGGAAGAGGCGCCCACTGATGTGGCCGAGCTGACATCCGATGAGTCCACTTCCACCGAGATCTGGAACGCGTTGGTGACCGAAGGTAAGCTGCAACTCAATTCGACATCTTTAGAAAAGACCAAAACTAACTCGCTGGGATGGCGGGATATAGACCATCAACATGAGATTCAACTCCGAACCATGTCCTGGCAAAAGGCCGCCTGGTTGCTTGCCGGAGACCAAGTCTGTCTGGCTATCATGGCTCAATCCTGGTCACTCTCGTAAGTCAACAGAGATTTTCATCTATTGGCCCACGAACTGACCATCATCATTGGGTCCCCTTAGCGTACTTGGCTGGGTACCCGGCATCATTACCATGGTTGTATCCGGCGCTCTCTTCTGGGTCACTTCCCTCACCATGCACAAGTACATCATGAAGCACCCGCAAATCAAGAACATTTGTCAGTAACTCCTCTCTCCATCTTCCCTCTGACCCCTGTGATGGAATACTAAGGCTGACTCGAGCTCGTCTTCCCTCCGGAACAGGTGACTTTGGCTACTATGTCTTCGGCAAAAGCCAGACGGCATACCTCTTTTCCGGCTTCATGTTGCTGGCTAACAACATCCTGCTGATCGGTTTCCATATCCTGACTGGAGCCAAGGTGCTGGATACTTTATCTGATCACTCTCTGTGTACCGTGACCTTCTCCGCGATCGTGATGGTCATGGGCATCGTCCTGTCCGCTCCGCGAACCCTGCATCATGTTTCCTTCATGTCCATGTTCTCGGGTAAGTTACAATCCACTCCACTGCAATGTCTGCGCCCTGTATTTCGCTAACAATGTCAGCGGCCTGCATGGGTATTGCCATCCTGTTGTTCCTTATCTTCGCGGGCATTGAGAAGGCACCCCTGGATTATCCGACCGATGGACCTGTGCGAACATACGCCTTCCCCTTGCCGGGCACCAGCTGGGTGGATTGCATGAATGCCGTCTTGAACATCACCTTCCTCTGGGTGCCGCAGATTCTCTTCCCCACCTTCATCGCCGAGATGGAGCATCCGGAGGACTTCCCCAAGTCACTGGCGGTCCTGGCTACCATTTCCACTATCCTCTTCATCATGCCGCCCGCCATCGGCTTTCACTATCTGGGCCAATACGCCACTGCGCCCGCCTTTGGCAGTCTGGGCCTCGCGGTGTACAGGAAGGCCTCGTTCGGTTTTGTCATCGTGCCCACGCTGATCATCGGCGCCATTTACGCCAACGTCACTGCCAAGTTCATCTATTCCCATCTCCTGGGCACCTCCAGACACGCGCACAGCAACACCGTCGTGGGCTGGGGCGTCTGGGCCCTGGTCATGATTGGCATCTGGGTGGTGGGATTCATCTTCTCCGAGGTCGTCCCCAGCATGGGCGACTTCCTCTCGTTGCTGGGTGCCGCCTTTGACTCCTTTTTCGGCTTCATCTTCTTCGCGGTAGCCTACTGGCATCTCTACCGGGGGAAGCTTTTTGTGGGACTCGGGCGCACCGCGATGACCCTGCTTCATGCCTTCGTCATGGCTTGTGGCTTGTTTTTGTTGGGACCGGGATTGTATGCGGCGGTAGAGGCCATCATCACGGATTACTCGGGATCGGTTTCCCCGGCGTTTAGTTGTGCTAGTCTGGGGATCTGATGGGCGCTGTGATTCTTCTTTCTTACTCCTTGTATTGTTTCCTCGATGCGTCAGCATGCTCCGCCAAGGTTGTTATGATCATGACTCTCTCCTCGATTATCGAAATTTATAGATATTGCTTCCCATAATATTAGCCGGAGGGGCTGTTCCTTCCGTCAGCACAACGGACTGGGCGTCTAACAAGATATAGAAGATTTTATTTTATATCGGAGAGGTGTATTGAAACGAACAATGCAGACCGATACCCGACCAAATTACTCTCCCGCAGATAGCTTAAACGTCTGGTGAATGCTGACCTGGTTTCCATGATACCAGGCTTCTCCCTCCGGGTTCAGTATCTCCTGGCTGCTATTGGCATCACTCCGTGGGCTCCCAGCCATTGGCGAGGAAACCGTGGTGACGGTCAGATGATCCATCTGGCCGGGAACGAGGTCAGGACGCCAATACCGGGGATCGCGCATGCTCTTCTTCGAGGCCTCTCCAGTCCAGCTGGATAGAGCGTAGGGCCCATCGCTGGCCTGTTTCCCCGGAACCCGGCGACCCTGGGAGCTAGTACTCTCGAGGAACCAGCGGCATAGAGCGCGTAAAGTGACGAGGCTGCCAGCCGTGATGCCAAGTCCGGTCTCAATGATGGACCAAATGGCGATTTGGTATGTGGAATCTGTGTCGCGTCAGAAAATATGCATTATGCCAGGAGCTGTGGAGTGGTCACTCACAGAGGAAATCGGTGTCACCATAGTGATGAAGAAAGGGGAGTCGAATGATGACAGCAACACTCGCACTGGAACTGGGTTAGGACATCACGACTAGAGCATCTCAACGAACAGACACATACATGGCTCCGAGACTGAGAATCACGCCTAGTGCGACCTTAGTGCGACCGTTCATCTGCAGTCGCCAGATCAAAAACACGGGCAAAATGCCCAGAGTGAGGTCGCAGAAGATGGTGATGGCGCTGTACAAGTAGGCAATGGCCAGCAGGGTCTCGATCGACAGGCAGGTTCCCGAATGAGTGGGTTCTAGACGCAACCAGAAGTATGAGACAGGGTGGCAGTCGAAGAGCAAGACCAGCCAAAACATCAGGCCGATGGCTGTGACAACTCCGATGATGGTCCACAGAATGATGCGATGCGCTTGGCGTACAGTCAATCGCAGCAAAGCGAGCGCGATGGACACTTTGGCGACAGCAGAGGCCCAGAGATATAACATCTGACCCAGCCACCACCACTACAATTCTCCATCTTAGCATTAGAGGTTACATACAGACAAGTGGAGGGGATGGATGCCTCTTACCAGCATGGCTTTCTCTATTGTCTGAACACTGGTGAAGTCCAGCATCTTGTGACCCACTCCGGTTTTTGCTCCAATCATGCAGCAGGTGTTAAGGAAGATGAATAGCACCTGCCGGAAAGTTAGTTATCTTTCGGTTCCACGAGCATCATACATAACACCTGTCAAGGCGACCGTACCAAAGCAACAATCATCAGCGCGTCATCCCATCCGAACGCCCGCACCAAGTGCACACGGACAAACGTGCGCAAAGCAACTGCAGCTGTGCCTATCCCCATCATCACCGTCGCAACGACGAAGATGGCGAGGCTGCGGCCCACCAAGGGCAGCGAGTCACTCATCCTGAACCACACGAGATGTTTGGTGGATGCAACTCAGGGACGCGGAAGGAGTCAAAGTGTTGCGGTGCACTGAGGGAATGTCGCGACTTTTCACTGCGGTGGGCATTTGGCCCGTGGGCCCAGCTGGATAGAAGCTGGAAAATGTTGCGGTTTCAGCCACGCGGGTCCGGCTTTTGATGTGCACAAAGCAAGCCATAATGGTTGAAGACTCGTAGCGAACCA